TGCATTTCGGAAGAAATGATTACTTTTGAGAGAATGGTTATGCAAGATATTAACAAAATAAAAGGATTAAACAAATATGAACAAAATTTAACCTTCAAAGAGAGGCTTGCTCTAAAAGATTTTAAAAAAGATAACACCCTCGTCATCAAACCTGCAGATAAAGGGGGTGGGATAGTCCTGTTAGAATATATGGACTACATGAAGGAAGCTAATAAAATCCTGGGAGATATAAATACATATGTAATACTTAATAAAGACCCTACGGAGGAAATTAAAGCAAACTATAATACATTGATAGAGAAAGGGAAAATGAGAAATATATTAAATAAAAAGGAATATAATTTCCTTAGTATTACACATCCTAAGATACCGGTATTTTATTACCTCCCCAAAATACATAAAGACAGGACAAACCCACCAGGAAGACCTATAATATCCGGAATAGGATCAATCTCAAGCCGATTATCACAATATATTGATAAAAATTTACAATCTATTGTACAACAATGCCCTAGTTACCTGAGGGATACCATTAGTATTCTACAGGTTCTTACCAACATTGAATGGCAGGACGACTTTTATTTAGTAACATCTGACGTAACATCTTTATATACTATAATTTCACACGAAAGGGGATGTTTAGCAACTAAAACATTTCTAGAACGTTCACAGAAATTCCCTCAAGAACAGATAGATTTTATCATTAACGGCATAGACTGGATACTCCGCAATAACTACTTTTGGTTTGGGGATAATTTCTATCTCCAACTGTGCGGTAATGCGATGGGCACGAGGTTCGCTCCCAGCTATGCTAACCTTTTTATGTCCCATTGGGAACAACAATTCATTTACAGCGATGATAGATGGGAGTCGAACCTCGTGACCTATCGCAGATATATTGATGACCTATTCTTTATTTGGAAAGGAGACGAAGAGTCACTTTTAACCTTTCTAGCCCACCTGGAATCGAATGATTGGGGAATAAAGTTAACTACCAGTTTTAGTAAAACTCAAGTACATTTTCTAGATTTAAATATATATGTAGAAGATGGACTGTTAAAAACCAATACTTTTTTTAAGAAAACTGATGTTAACAGCTATATACATCAGAATAGTTGCCACTTTTCCCCTTGGCTTCTCAATGCCCCAAAGGCTCAATTGCTTAGAATAAAACGCAATTGCACTAATGACCAAATTTTTCAAGATCAAGCATCGACCATTTTACAAAATTTTAGGGACAAAGGATATGAGGACTCACTATTAAATAAAGCATATGAGGAAGTTAAATCGAAAGAAAGATCATCATTATTGATATATAAAGAAAAGAATAACGACTCAAATAAAAAAGACCCTGTATTTATATGTGATTTCAATTGTAAAAACAAACAAGTTAAAAGAATTTTAAATAGATATTGGCCTATCCTTAAAAACGACCATGTACTAAACTCCATACTCCCAGATAGACCCATTGTAGTCTATAGGGGGGTTCCGAGTTTAAACAGAACTCTAGTACATAATCACATCAAACTAAAAAAGAAGCTTAACTTCCTGAATGACAAGAAAGGTTTCTTTGGCTGTGGTAATTGCACAGCTTGCAAAAATACCAAAAATAAAAAAAGACACATAACATCTTTTACACACCCAAAGAATCTGGAACAGAAGTTTATAATAAATGAATTAATTACATGCCACTCTAAGAAAGTCATATATACCATTATGTGCCCTTGTGGCCTTATATATGTAGGACGAACTATCCGTCCCCTCCATGTACGTATACAGGAACACATCAGAAATATCAAAAATGGTTTTGAGAAACATAGCCTCTCTCTCCACTTTTCAAAATTCCACCATAAGAATCCTGAATTCGTTCAATTTATGGGGATACAAAAACTTACCCAAAACTGGAGAGGAGGAGACATAATACAATCTTTGGGCCAAATGGAAATGAGGTGGATTTTCAATTTAAATACCATGTTACCTCACGGATTAAACAATGATTTTGAATTGTGTCATTTCCTGTGATGGAACTTGTTTGTACATCCCCCTTTTTTTAGTTTATATATAAGAAATAGACCTTCCAAGACCTTCTACTCTATTATAAGCTATTCCCATTCATTCTCCAATATATAAGTTTACATACCCCATTTTCTAAGTGTTAATACAATGTTATTTCAAGTACAGAGAGATAGGTATGCGTTATATTAATAGCATTATCTATAAAGACACAAGTACTGATACATATATGCATTAATGTATAAACTTTCTTCTTCCTCTAATTTTTTACTTAACAAACTCTATTCCTTTAAGAGAAACGTGATAATGAAATGTGATTAAAGGCTGCTGTTACCTTAAAATATGAATATATGTCTATATTAGATTTTAGATAGTCCTCCTTACCCATGGTATATAGACAGAATATTATCCTTTTTAAAATCCATATTTATTCAAATTGAGCCATTGGTCCATATACACATTATGTTAAATGTGATTTGTCTCATACCTATATTCTATATACATTGAAGGGCCACGTTTCGAATAGAACTGCTAAAGAAAAGGAAATATACAAATGATATCATTAGAGGCATAAGGTTTATTTAAATACTGCTATATATCATACTAATGTCTCATACAAATAATCTTCTTATCTATATCTATTTATCCTTATATTTTATGATGTCTTTATGTGAGAGACTCTTGATGTACATATAAAGATCGCTTTCGCCCTCAAACAAGATGGCGACCAAAGACTCATAATTGCACGAACTAACTGAAATGCGACCGCTTTGAATGATGACGTAAGCGGAAATGACGTCACGCAATACAGCCGCCGATCATCCGCAATCAAGGGAGGCCTTTTTGAAGATATAAAAAGAAAACCGGAACACAGATGAATACACCGATTGAAAAAGCCGCTGGGCGAAACGCGTCTCGGAGGAGTAACAGGACTAAGGATTTCTTTTATTGCTGTATTTTTATATAGTTTTTATTTTTGATATAGCTAGTCTATATTTTACAATAAATTGTTTTTCCTACAATCCATTGTTTACTCCAGTATCCTGTGTTCCTGCTAATTATCCTAAAGGGTTTTGTGTCCCCTTTTTGACACATAAAGTTATACATTCAGAGCCAGGATTTAGGCTCTGAACCAGGTGAGCAATTTTCAACTTCTTGGTAATCATATTTATGCTGATATACTGCACTATATTTTGGTTTCCATCCATTGAAGGTATCAAGAGTTCCCTGCCTGCATATAGGTTCCGTGTGACCCTAAAACACGCCAGCTTGAGAGATCTGAGCCTGTCCTGTTAAGGCTCAGAACCATGTGAGTGGTTCTATTTTCTCCACTATTAATTTCAACAATATTTACAATATACTACACCATATTATTGTTCATTTTATCCCCACGTATAGGTCATTTTACATAGACCAAGAGTGGGGTGAGTTTATTCACTTAGAGCGCTCCACCTATAGATTGGTTTTGGTTTTTTACCATCCCTTTCACTTTCTATAAGCTTTAGGAATATGTTTTAATTCCTAACACTAAAGTGTACCTGTAAACCGATTATGTTTTTAAAACCGATTACTGTTCTGACAAATGGCTTCCATTAATGAGTTTTAGAGGGATAAAAAAAAATAATATAAGAAGAAGAAATGTGTATGTATTTATGTCTGTGTGTTTTGTACCTTATATTACTATGGAGCTTATTTACTAAACAGTTAATTAAGATCCGGATTGCAAAAATGAAGCCAACATTTGTCTCAAACTGTGACTAAATCAGTGATAATTTTAGAGCTGTGAACATTATAGCTCAGCGAATTAATCTTTACGTGTTATGGGAGACTCTGTGATAAGTATAAAATGGATTTTTATAGTTAACCCCTTAAGGACACAACTTCTAGAATAAAAGGGAATTGTGACGGAATATTTCCGTCATGTGTCCTTAAGAGGTTAAGAGAGGTTTTATTTAGAAGCTACTGCAGCTTAATCGGCAACACTATGCAGTATGCTTGCAATTCATTAGGCTGCAGCTAAATGGACACAATGTAATTCGGTCCCTGTAGCCCTGGCAAGGCAAAAGATTTCTCTATTTGCATGACCTTGCAAGCACATTACATTCACAAAACTCTCCTTACACTTGTCCCTCAGCCATTTATCCCAAAATGAACCTCATAACCGCTTAACATATGTATAGACTTGATTGCATGTACAGTGTATCCTTAACCCATTCAGGCTAAAGACAAATCCCTTGATTTCATGTTGGCTTTGGCAAGCCACCAGTGATTAGGAGGTTACTGAGCATATACCATGTGCATTGCTATTCTCATCTAAACAAAGTTGCCCACACTATGGACAGTGTGCAGTAGATCCTGGCATGCTGCAAGAAAACATATAGTTTAAGAAGACAAA